TTACCTATATATTGACCACAATTTAAAAAATTATTTAAAAAAATCTAAAAACAACTCAAATACCCATCAACGGTAGAAGAGATAAATTGTGATATATTCAAACACTGGAATATTACAAAGCAATGAGAATGAACGAACTATACTGTTACATGTAACAATCTGGCTGAATCTCACAAACATAATATTGGGTGAAAGAGGCCAGACGCTGTAATGCTGTATGATTCCATTTACATAAAGTAAACTTTAATTAGGCAAAATTAATCTATGGTGGGGGATAACCAGAAGGGAGACAGATAGGGCTTCTGAGCTGCTGGTTATGTTCTTTTTGGGGGGCCCGGGGTGCTGGTTAAACAAGTATGTTCATTTTGTGAAAATTTACCAAGCTGCTTATGATTTATACATTTTTATGTACATATATTATACTTCAAAAAAAGTTTATGTAAAGGAAAAAAAATAATTCTGTTCATTTGCAGCTCATACCACTCATCTCTCCATTCTTACAATTATCATCTACCAACCTCTTGGTTACTGCATCACATCAAAGACTTCAGATACCGGCTAACAGTCTTCTTCTATATCCTAAGTCCTGCCATAACCATGTGTGACACTAATATTCGTGTGGAAGACCACTCAAAAACCTCACTTTACAGTTCTTGACTTCATCTCCAAAAACTTTCATTTTCACTCCACTGTAGCTACCCACTTCATGGCTGCACCCTGAATTTACCAATACTCAGAATTTTTTAATAGCTAAAATCATAAACTCAACAAACTTTTCTCTGACTACAAGACCTACCATTCTAGCACTGATTTCCTTACTGCTCTACTTTTATTCTTTAAGTTAATGAAAATACCTACCTTAGAGACTTTTTGTGATAATTAAATGTAATAATGTATACAAACAGCTTAGCACAGTGCCTAAAAAACAGGAAGTACTCAATAAACTGTAGCGACATTTGGTATTAACTATTTGATGTTCTATTATAAACAAATTCTCTTTCAGATCCCAAATTCATTCCCAACCTCTAGCATTAATGAAACTCTGCTTTTGTTTGACACTGCTACACTCTTCCCAATCCTTTTAAACAAAGGCCGGTCCTCTAGCCTTTCTCCGATTTAAGAAGTAAGGGAGATAAGCACAGCTTGTTCCTCAGTTCTAATTCCAGATCCATGTTCCATCGCATTTGCTCAACAGGCTCTTATATTTTAAGATGTGTTAACTAGTCTCACAATTACCTACTAACCTTCAGGACTCCTTTCTACCTTACTCCTTGTTATTAAACTCTGGGACTTCAAAATTAACACAGATAACCCTTTTGGTACCTTATGCCCTTTCACCTCTCCCATTCTCTTTGAACCTGCTCTTTTCCCCTACTATGCCTGACAGTCTCCTGATCCCTCCCTAGTACCTTAGGCTATCACTTCCATTCTTTTCATTTGTCTCCTTATCCAGTTTGGACACCTATTAGGATAAATTGTCTGCTCCATATTTCCTAACTTCCAAATTCCCTAGAATATTATTATTCCCACTTTACCAATATTCAACACTAGAGCATCCCCACTATTTTTCCCTTCCTAGGCTGTTATGAGCACTGCTGGAGAAATTCACAATGATAGAGCCAATCTTAGCTCAGCTCATTTCTCAGCAATTATTTTATTCAGTGCCTATTGATGCTTTACTGAATTTTTTACAGTGGCTTTCCCAAGCCTTTTCCATTCTTTAATTCCTAAAGGCACATTCTATGTTTTCCTCTCTCAGCAAATGACCTTACCCACCGAAGACACAGACATCTAATGTGAGATCCCTCGATTTCCTTCCTGTTTCTCAAAATCTCTATCTTCACCTTTTATCTCTACCAGCTCCAGCTTCCAAAGCAGAAGGGTGTGTCCTTTTTGCCAAGGCTAATCCTTCCACCTGTCCTTTTGATTTTAACACCTCTCTATAAAATATGGTTAAGAGAATAGACTCTGGAGCCAGACCATGTGATTTCAGATATCAGCTCTACCACTTACTACTGTGTGATCTGGCAAGTTACTCAAGTTTTCAAAGCTTCAGTTTCCTTACCTGTAAAAAGGTGTTAATAATAGCACCTACTCATAGGGTCACCATGAAGCATAATTGAGAAAATGTAAATAAGGTGCTTAGCAAAATGCCTAGGACACATTAAATGTGCCCAACAGCACAGTAGCTGTGATTACCATTATTATCTTTCCCTCTATACTAGTTCCAGGCACCTTTCCCATTGTCTCAAAACTTGCTCAACTCTCCTGATTTTTCTTTAAAGTAAAATACACCTTTTCTGGAATTTCCTACCTCATCCCAAGATTTCATTCCTTCCTTTCACCATCAAACTTCTCAAAAGAGTAGTATACACTGCCCTACCAGACGCAGCAATGAATAGTGAAAAGATCACAGGCTTCAAAGCCAAATATAACTGTGTTTAAACCTGGCTCTTCCACTTAGCAGCTGTATGACCTGGGACAAGAAGTTAATCTAAGCCTCGGTTTTTTCATGTGTAAAATAGGGGGTACTACTCATTTCGTAGAGTCATCAAGAAGATTAAACTGAAATAACATACGTAAAGCATCTGACTAAAGTAGGTGCTAACTGAATGCTAGTTCTCCACCCCGTCGTATCCTTTCCTTAACCCCTTACAATCTAGGTTCTACCTCTACCACTCAAACCTCTTTCTCACTTCAGCTCTTACCAGCTTTATGATTTTGGGCAATTTATCTTCTATAAACCTTAGTTTTTTTTAATCTGTAAAATAGTGATCACAACATCTACCACATAAAGTTGTCCTGAGAATTAAGTGAAATAACATATGTAACGTATTTTAGCACGGTGCTTAGCCTGTAGTAAGCACTTAATAAGTGGTAGTTGTCAGTGACTTCTTAACAGTCAAATTAAATGACCTGTTCAACTCTCTCCTTTTCTAGGCTTCAATGACAATACACTATTCTGGTTTGCTTTTTACCACTGCTGTCCTTCTCTGTCTCTGTACCTGCTCCATGAAGCCTTTCTTAATGCCCTTCAATCAAGTGTGAGCTCTGTTTCTTTAGAGCCCCCTCAGAGCACTCTGTACACCTCTTGAGGCAAGGCACTTCCCTTACTATGAATCACAGTCGTTTGTGTTATCTGTTGCATCTCCACTGCTTAATTTAATCTCCTTTATCCTCATGGCCTGGAACTTATTTATTCATGTAGAATTTATTAATCAACTAGTATAGTCAGACCTGTGCTACGTATATCAAGGATTAAAAAAAGAAAAAAATTCTGACTAATAGCAACTCTTTGGACAGAGAAGAACTGCCCCATAGGGTTTCCAAGGCTGAACGTTATCTTTACGGGAGAAGACTGCCACATCCTTCTCCTGCGGAGCAGCTGGTGGATTCAAACCGCTGACCTTTCGGTTAGCAGCCCAACGCTTTAACCACTGAGCCACCAGGGCTCCTTAGGTACCAAGTATACAAAGATTAATATGTTATAACTACCAAGCTCAAGAAGCTTATAGTTTAGGAGGGTAGAAGAGACAAGTAAATAGTTTATTATTCACAATGTGATAAATGTTATGGTAAGAGTATGCCTAGGGTGCTCTGAGAGTACAAAGAGGAGTTATTTAAATTAGACTGGGGAGGTTGGCGACACACTCTTGAAAAAGGCATTCTGTACTTAGCATATGGGGAGGCACTACATAAATATCTGTTACATGAATGAATAAACCATGAACAGGAACTAACTAGATAAGGATGGGGAAGGGCATTTAAAGGCCAAAGAGCAGGTAAAAAGGTGTGGAAGGGTGAAACAAGTAGTTCAGTATTGATGGGAGGAGGGATCCTAAGTGGCAGGGCATGAAGCTAGAGAACTAAAGCAGGGTAGAGTGTTCTAGGTATAGGAGTCTGACCTGTCCCCAGAGGCAGATGATAGAGTGCCAATAAAGGGGACGGACATAATCAGATTTGCATTTTAGTAAAACTACCCTGGCAGCACAGGAGAATGGATTCCTGAAGAGTCAGGCAATGAGTCCAGTTAGTGAGTTGCTGCAATAGTTCAGATAAATTATGAGAGCTTAAATTTCAGAAACGAAACTGAGAATAGCAAATCAAGATGAATGCTGAGCAAACTTTAAGTAAACTTCGGCTGAGCTGAATTCATATTGGTATCTCCAGCAAGCCTGGCAGATCATTTTTCAGTTAAAACCCTCTACGTAAATATTTGTCCACTGCTGTTATTGACACTTACTTACGGAAGTGAAACAGCCATCTGAGTCACTTCCCGTACACAAATTCCCAAGTAAAAACCCGTTGCCGTGGAGTCGGTTCCGACTCATACTCATACCGTATAGAACAGAGTAGAACTGCCCCGTAGGGTTTCCAAAGAGCGACTAGTGGATTTGAACTGCCGACCTTTATGGTTAGCAGCCGAGCGCTTAACCACTGTGCCACCAGGGCTCCCTCCTAAGTAAAGGCACCCTTTTCCTGTAATAGAAAGCAAAATAAATTTCTTGAACCCAGAGAGTAATAACAATACGTATAAACCCCGCGTACCGCAGAGAGACGCTGGGACCTCTCTGTCCCGGTCTATTTCGCCCCCAAAAATGTTTGAACAAAGTCCTTCGATAAGGTTAAGAGGCCCCGCCCTGTGCACCGAGGCAAACGCCCAGAATTCTTTTGTATTTGTTCCAGTCCAAGACCCAAATCTCTGCTGGTGCTCGTTGCTCCGCAGTTTCCCAGTTTTTACTGGCTGACTGTAAGGCAGTCAACCGCAGGAAATTGAGGAGAGCAGTGTCCCAGGCTGAGGAAAATGTAAAATGGAAAGGCAGGTGTTTTTGAGGCCAAGAGTTTGAAGCTTCAAACGTTAATGACTCTCTGACCTAGACCATCTTCCTACGACCCTACCTCCACCGCCACCTACTTTCTGAAGTTAAGACGATCCCTTTTACACTTACTAGAATGCTATCTGCACCCAAAGAAACTAAGCAAGGTGTTTTTTCACTTACCCTAACGGCCGCCATTCCTGTGACCTCTCCGCTAAAGTTTTCATACGGAGAGCGGAGAGGGACAAAGCAGTTCTACTTGCATCCCTTCACGACAGCCCCGCCCAGTCCAGCCCTTTCTCCGCCCTCCTGGAGCCATTTCAGGAAGCTGTTACGATAGGTTGGCTGCGGTTCGGAGAAACAGTTTCATCCTTCTGATTGACGCTCCTTGTCCCTGTAAGGAAAACCTGGTAGTGTAGTGGTTAAGAGCTCTGGCTGCTAACCAAAAAGTTGGCAGTTCGAATTCGCCAGGCGCTCCTTGGAAGCTCTTTGGAACAGTTCTCCTGTGTCCTATAGGGTCGCTGTGAGCCGGCATGGACTCGACGGCAGGAGTTTTGTCCTCGATAACCCTGGTGGGGCCGTGGTTAAAGCGCTGGACTACTAACCGAAAGGTCGTGGTCCATGGGAGAAAAATGTGACAGTCTGCTTCCTTAAAGATTTACAGCCTGGGAAACCTTATGGGGTAACTATGAGTGGGAATCAACTGGATGGCAGTGGGTTTGGTTTTTTATGCAGGGATACACAGTACCACAGGGACTTGCAGTCATAAACTGCCCTGGAGGCGAGCTCCAAAAATTCCGAATCTTGTGAACTTATTCTCTGAAGGAATACATGTAGCTCAGTCTTCACATATTGAGGACTTACTGTATAACTGGGAATTTACTTTCACGAAGAATATAATGGCTGTAAAATGATGTTATAAAAATGTGCTAATTTGAAGGTTACGTGTACGTTTTAACACTCGACACTAACCACAAAAATTATTTAGAATGTAGACCAAAAAAAAGGTTTTGTAGGGGAGAAGTATTTTATTACTAACATTGCTTAGATTGTCAGCTATGTGGTGATAATAAAAATCAGAACAACTTTATTTCACTGTATTACGTATTATTTCTAAATTCTCTACAGATAAATCCATCTCCTTATTGCCTGCACTAAGAGCAGACCACTCCCCGCTACCCTTAGTGCCCCACTGCCAGGCATTGTTCTAATGCTGGGCATGAAGCAATGAACAACACTGACACAAGCCCTGATCTGGTGAACCTTAAGTGTACATTTTTGTCCGAAAAAAAACAAAAACAAACAAGATCATTTCAGGTAGTGATAAATACTATAAAGGGTGACTGGGTTGAGGTTGGAGTTACTTTAGATTGGGAGGAAAGAAAACTTCAAGAAGATGGCATTTGAGTTGAGACCTGGCAACAAGAGGGTCCACTCATGTGAACACCTGAGTGTTTCAGTCAGCAGGAACAACAAATGCAAAGACCCTGAGGAGGGAACAGATTTACTGGAGCATGGTGAGTGAGGTAGAGAGTGGAAGAGGAGTCAGACAGGAGTCAGATTGTATATAAAGAACATGGATTTTCTTTTTAAAATTTATTTTTTCTTAAATATTAATTAATTTATTATTATAGATTTACCAAAGCTGCAGATTGTTTTGGGTGCAAAAGGCAGCTTTGTGTAATGGAAAGTATTAGAATCAAAATAAGATCTTGGCCTCTAAAAGAGGTTGTTGTTAGTTGCTGTCCAGCTGATTCCAACTTATGACGACCCTATGTATGCAGAGTAGAACTCCTCCATAGGGTTTTCAAGGCTGGGACCTTTCAGAAGCAGATCGCCAGGCCTGTCTTCTGAAGTGCCTCTGGGTGGGTTCAAACCACCAATCTTTCAGCTAGTAGTTGAGTGCTTAACCACGTTTGCCATCCAGGGACTCCTCTAAGGGAGGACTCTTATAAACTAAAGGGTTGAACTAGACCAAAGGTGCTCAAATTTAGTGTGTGTAAGGATTACCTGGACAATTTTATAGAATGCAGATTCCCGTGTACTACCCCCTGGGTATTAGTATTCATTTGCCCTAAGTTAGGGGAATTTTTGCTGTGTACCTCAGGTGATTCTAATGCAGGTAGTCCTTGGGCCACACTTAGAAAAAACTAGATGAACTAGATGACTTACTATGGTATGTCATTTCCAGTTCTGACGTTCTAGGATTTCTATATGGTCTCTTGTCTAATGATATTTGGTGATCCTGGGTAACTTCAGGATTAATGTAAACCCATGATACCCTCATCTCCAGTGACTTTTACTATAACAATGGCCATATCCTTGACTCTATTAACAACTACTCGACCTCTGGAATTTTAAATTCAAATACTCTTGACTCTGACCTCAACTATTATTCTTCAAGCTCTTTGATTTTGATCCACACTTTTTTTTTTTAACCTCATCAAGATCTCTAGGTCCTTGATGTCTGTATTAGTTATCTATGGCTATATAACAATTTATCCCCCCAATTTAGCAGTGTCAAAAACAAGTATGTCTTCATGACATGACAGCTAGCTTGCCCCAGAATGAGTGATCCAAGAGAAAGAACAAGGTGGAAGCTACATTACCTTTTATATCTCAATCTTGGATGTTATACATCACACTCTATTCATTAGAAATGAGTCAGTAAGAACAGCCCATATTCAAGGGGAGGGGAAATAAGCTTTACTTTTGAAGGAAGGAATATAAAATAATTTATACGTATGTTTTAAAATCACCACCACATCTCTCCTTTTTCACTATCTATTAGGCCCTTGCGGTCTCATTTTCTTTTCTAACTAATCTAAACCTCATGGTACATCTCTTCAACTCTTTTGCTGGAAATAAACTCAACTACCTGACCTCACTGGAACAATTTTGTTTTGTACTCTGAAAAAACCTCCATTCTGGATCAATCTGACCTTAGGTAGCTCTTTCACCTCTTCTTTATGGTGGCTATTTTAAACCTTATCTTAATGAACACAAACTGACTGTTGTCTCATTCTCCTTTGGGGGCCTTTCCCCTCTTTTCATTCACTAAGTCTTTATTAGGTTTAGCTATAAGTGACAGAAAATCATATATATCAGTAATAACCTACTATCTGTTGCCTTTTCTTATAAATGTAGGCAGTCCAGGGCTGATACGGTGGCTCTATGATTTTCAGGAACCCCAGGCCTCTTCTATGTCATTTTTCTAGCATCTTCAACATGTGCTTCCACCTCCTGGTTCAAATAGGCTTTTCTAGTTCCAGCTGTTACATCTGCATCCCAGTCAGCAGGAACGTGAAAAGAGGACACAAGAGAGATACACCCCCTCACATTAAGGACACTTCTCAGAAGTGTGATGCACACTGCTTCTGCTTATATTCCTTTGGCTGAAACCTCATCAAGTGGCCATACTTAACAGTAAGGGAGGCTAGAAAATTAAGTCTATTCTAAACAGCGATGTGTCCAGCTAAAAATTATGGGATCTATTATTACAGAAAGGGAGAATAGACATTGGAGTTTCTTCCACAGCCCTTTACTCTTTTCACTTTATGCACTCTGAATAATTTCTCCCTTCCTATGACTTCAGTTATGGAGATGACACCCAAATCTGTATCTCCTGCCTAGACCTATCTCTGAACCTCAGACTTTGTATATTCATTCATTCATGTATTCACTTGTTATATATATGTTCAGGTTAAGGAGCTTGGACTTTATCTTAAAAGCAATGGAGGACCATTGAAGTGTTTCAGGAAAATGGGTAGATACTATCGGATGATCACTTTATTTTCAATGTAGAGAATGAAATGGGAGTATTGAGGTGAAACCAACCAATAATTCAACCATCCAAACTGCGACACTTTTAACAGGACATTATGGGGATCCTATATATAATTATCCTGGAGCAACACACAAAAACTGGGCCTGTTCTGAAAAACAGGGATGCATGGTCATCCTGCTCATCTAAGGCCCTGTATGATCTGGCCTACTTTTTCACCCTCAGGCCACTTTTGTCCTCACATTCAATACTCCAGCCACACTGAAGCCTTTTTAGTACCAGGAAACATGCTCTACTTTCTATCACCTTTCTGGGCGTTTGTACTATGCTGCTGCTTCTGCCTAGATCTCCTTGGCTAATTTGTCCAAGGTCACATAGTTATTAGTCCAAATTTTTAACATAATGTGATGGTTAAGGTTGTGTGTCAATTTGGCTGGGCCATAATTCTCAGTGGTTTGGCAGTTATGACATAGTTTGGCAGTCGTATGATGTTGTGATCACTTCCATGATGAGATTTGATATAATGTGATCACCTCCATGATGAGATCTGCTGTGAGTAGCCAATCAGTTGAAAGGGAGTTTCCTTGGGCATGTGGCCTGCATCAAATGTAAGTGGACTTTTTGGCAAGGCTCGTGGGCTTTTGCTCACTCTGGATCCTGTAGCTGGCTCCTGACCTCTGGTTTTTGAGACTTGAGCTAGCAGCTTACCTGCAATCTTGCCTGTCAATCATTGGGTTCTTCCATCTTCATAGCCTGTGAGCAAGAGCCCTGCTATCTGGCCTGCTGATCTTGGGTTCACAGCCCCTGCAGCTACGTGAATCAGGAGAAGCCTCTATCCTGACCCACGGACTTGGGGTGTTCCAGCCTCTACAATCACGTGAGCCATTTCCTTGATATAAATCTCTCTCTGTGTATATTTATATGCTTTACTGGTTTTGCTTTTCTAGAGAAACGAGCCTAAGACACATGGCTTATAAGGCTCTTATTTATCTGGCCACTGTTTATCTCTCCAACCTCATCTTTTCCCATACCTGGAGCTATTGTCTCAGACTTTCAGCTCAGGTTTTGGTAGGCAGTAGAGAAGTACTCACAGAGGGACAGGTTAAAATGTTAACAACCACAGAGAACCTCCAATGCCCACTTTTCCAGAAAGAAGCTTGTAGCCAAATCAGAGAGATCACTACTGGATTAATGGAAACTACTCAGTGGTGCCACATGCCAGGGTCAGTGCAATACCTGCCATACCTGCCATACCCTGTGAGTCACGAGTCTACAATTAAGGTCTTGACCAGGGTCATGGTCATATCTGAAGGCTTTACTGGGGAAGGATCCACTTCTAAGCTCACTTGTTGGCAATATTCAGTGCCTTGTGGGTTGTCGGCCTGAGGGCCTTGGTTCCTCATTAGCTGTTGGTTGGAAGCCTCCCTATGTTGCTTTCCGCA